TACAATGTTTTTTCCACCAACTGGCAACCCGGGGTGTCGAAATACTATTGGGTAAACTGGCAGTGGGCGGAATCACACAGACCAAAATGAAAACAGGCATTCCGACACGGAACTCACATTTCAAAATAGAATAACAGATTGTATCATTGTTTTTTTAAAGAAACAAGTATGTGAACTTTGCATGTTTCCTAAATATCTCAAAATATTATGTTTTTTTTATGCTTTAGTACAGTCAAAAAATGTCTTCTTTCTACAGGTTATCTTAAGGTATTTTCCATTGTTTTAATTTTTGTGTTAGTATAACATTATAATACCATGCATATTTTTACTTTTTTCATTATTTAAATAAGAAACCAATCCAATGTATAGTTGACATTTAAGGCTTAATGCTGTAGAGAAGCAATAAAAGTTTTTCAGTTTCAGTGTTTTCAGCTTGTTTATTTTCATATAAAAATATGGCATGCAGTTTCTTTAAACAATGGTATAAACATCATTGAATGTAAATTGTGATAACTGTAATTAATAATCGCAATTACAATTTCAAGGGAATAATCGACAATTATGATTTAAGTCATAATCGGGCAGCCCCACATGCAAGAACTGTTTTTATTTTTAAATATACTTTTAAAATTTGAAGTACACTAAAAGTGCACATTCAATAGAATTAAGTGCACTTCTTTTAACAAGGGCAGAGATATCTATAGATGTATTACCTGCCCGCTGCAGCTGCCTCAGTGCTGGCCGCGTCTACAGGCATACATGAGGACTCAATCACGACTGTGCCATTCTTCCCGTAACAGAAACCACAATCTGGATTCAACATGCAGGATTCACAGAGCCTTCAGTGTACAGACAGAAACAAACTGCAGTCACACTCGTGCACTAGATTTATATATGTCAAGTAGCACATCCAAGATCCAGAGTTTATGGAGCGCAACCGTCAGACTCCTGAAGTAAAAATCCCATTAATTTTTCCACAGAGAGATCGATTTTAATAAACAGTTACATATAAACCTTTCAAATCACAGCTCTGAGATTGTTAAAGAGATAGTTCACACCAATATGAAAATTCTGTCATTATTATGTCATTACTCACCCTATGACTTCGTAAACAATGACAACATTTTCCTTTTTGGGTGGAATATCCCTTTAAGCGATGATATAAGCTTCTGTAAAAGCCACAAGTAAGTGTGATTTAAACATTTTTACAAAACTGATTAACAGTGTAACTCCCGCTAAATAACTACACTACCCATAATCCTGAAAAGAGCTCCACCAATCAGAGAAGTCGTTGTCACCACAGGAACGAGAAAGCGCCAGAAGAGCTCAGCGGCGTATTCCCACTTTATTGTAGATGATTTAATCGAGTCTCTTACACTCTCAAACTACTTTTATATTTGTATATACTTGCATATTCTGAAGTTATCTTCAAATATATTGTATGGTATTTTCATTGTCTTTTATTTTTTCTTATTTGCATAGTCCTTATTCCCGTAAAATCCATAGGTCGATCTAGACTACTAAAAGGCACAACTCACCCATATGTAATGCAGGTGGAGTTGTGGAGGGAGGGGTCATTGGGGTGAAAGGTCACGGGTGGAGAGGCCTGAGCCGAGAGCAGGAAACCCGCAGCGAGAACCATCAGACTTACAGCAGTACCTGAGTCATGCATAGCACACCGGCATTACAACACTACATACTTCAATCTGTCAGTGAGAACCCGTGTTCATGGCTGTGTCTGAATCATCACCTAGTATGCTGCCCAGAGTCAGCTTCCTGCGGCCCACCCTATCCACGAGCCACACGCCTACTAGAGTAAACAGGAAGTTAGTGAAGGCTGTGGCAGCAGCCAGCCAAATGGCCATCTGATCATCCTGTACTCCAGACATCTGCAGTATGGTGGCGCTGTAGTACCTGCAGCGTTCAGAGAGATCATTTGATTCCCTTAAAATAGACAGTACTGTTACAACATTAGTAACTGGAGTCCTAGGTAATGTTCAAAATTGAATGCTACCACACTAATAAAGCTCTTTCCACAGTGCGCAGTATATATAATGTAGACGGTATGCACACAACTTTTGAAAGTTTACACTGTTCTATATTATTTCACATACTATGGAGGCTTGCAACTTTTTATCTCATAATTCTGACTTTTTTTTCTCAGAATTGCGGATTAATATCTTGCAATTGAAAGTTATAAACATAATTATAAGTTCACATTTCACAATTGTGTGTGTGCGTGTGTTTTTAAGGTAAAGTAGAGGTAATTTTTTAAGGTGAAGTTAATTCGGACTTTTTTCTTACAATTCTAACATCTGTGATAAAAAAGTCAGAATTATAAAATAAAAAGTTGCATTCCAATTCTGAAATATACTGTAGCCTTAAATTACGATAATGCAAGTACGATAACGACAACAATAGCGTTAACTAGGGATGCACTGATTGGATTTGTTTTGGCTGATACTTATACCAATTTTAACAAACAACTATTGTTCAATTAAGATACCGATATATGTCACTTGCTCACTTATTTAACTTTTTTGATCATGCGTTACGTTAGCAAAGTTCAAAAATGCATGCATTAAGGTAATCTAGCTAGTTTACTGCTGATGGCAATAAATTGATAAAAAAAAAAAAAACATCTGATAAATACTGACGGACGATACATTGGTGCATCACGGCTATAACAATAACGCCACAGAGGAACGACAGCTTTGGAATCACTTTCAGAACTATTTTTCTAACTGATGAATGATAAAAATATTGACAGCCAATCAGAATCCACCTCACTTTAAAGGGCTTAAGTATTTAAAATGGCAAACAACAACATGACAGCGCACGCTTATAATAAACAGAACGTTATCGTGTGGTGTTGTGGACGCTAATATACTTATCGTTACAGTTATTGTTCATAGTGTGACCAGGCCTTAGTCATATTACAGGGAGTCATATGGATAAAGTGTTGATAAAGTCAAATGTGTTCTAGTGACCTACATGACCGTATTGATTCCTGAGAGCTGCTGGAACATCTGTAGGCCACAACCCACGATCAGAGCACGCCGTGTTGGAGCGAACGTCAGGATACGCCACAACACTGGACCCTCTGGAAGATAAGCAGTCACAATTTCAGAAATAGAAGATATTTCCTGAACTCAGCACCATGTGTGTGCTGTGACGTCTGCATGATCTCACCTCCAGCATCAATCTTCTCCTCCTCAATGCTGCTCCGTATGCTCTCATACTCTTCATCCACATTTACACCGCCACGGATCCGCCTGAGCACCAGCCGAGCATTCTGGGTATCTCCTTTCTGCAGGAGCCAGCGAGGACTCTCCGGGAGGAAGAGGAACCCCAGGAACTGCAGCGCAGCAGGAACAACTGACAAACCCAACATATACCTATACATGAACACAAAAATAATTCAAAAATGATTGCAAAAAACCAGGTCCTTATGAAGCACATTTGTACCTCATTTTTATCTCACATTCACATTCTCTACTTCTCCAGCACAATGTCTGAATATGTCTATTTTTAATAATATTTGTAGTTACATATAAATGTTTTAATACATACAGTATTTAGGTATAAGTAATATGTATGTGTGTATTATATGTATGTAATATATTTATATTGTTATATGGTGGTTGCCAGGGTATTGTTATGCAGTAGCTGAGGTGTTCGGACAGTTTTTGTTGTTTTATGTAATTATTTTATACATATTATATATATATATATATATATATATATATATATATATATATATATATATATATATATATATATATATAACGCACCAGTGTTTGTTAACTACAACTAAATATATTAAAGTTTGTTTATGTTCATTGAGCAATAAACTGGAAATAAAACTCAAAAAATTTAATAAAATAAACAGAAATAGATGAAAATCAATCAGATGACAACTTAAATGAAAATTAGAAATTATGCTTTGGCAACTAACTGAAATAAAATAACTTTAAGTTGAAGTAATAAAATTACTAAAATTGATAAACAAATTATTAAAAATAACAAAACCACAAAACAAAATTACAAAAATGTAAACAAATTAAAATTGAATATAAAAGCTAATTCAAAATATCAATAAATTCTATGATAGTATTTAAATAAGACTAAAATAACACCGTAACATCTCTCCCCAAGCGGCATGAGCCACTGGATTCATTTTTGTATATTTTGTATTAGTATTGACTACTTATTAAATGTAATTTGCATATATTTTATTTAAAAATAAATAAATTAAATTATTCATTTTTAAGTTTAATTATTAAAACTTTATTTATTTAGTTTGATTGTGTTGCAGCAAAAATATACCAGTAGCACAATAAAATCTGAAAAAGAAGATTGATAATGTTTTATGAAATTTAAGAGGTAAAACTTCCGTTTTTACTCACCTCCAGCCGTCATGGGGCAGGTAGCTAAAGACCCCATCCACCACGCTAGCTACGAACTGGCCACCGGTGATAAACAGGGTGTTAATGGTGACCAGCTGACCTCGGAGTTCAGAAGGTGAAACCTCAGCGATGTAGACTGGCACGGTCATAGATGCAATTCCTAAAACACAGGACATAAAAAAACGATAAGGCACACAAACTGAATTCAAACAGTTTTACATACACTGTATATGACTTACCTATCCCGAGCCCAACCGTAAGCCTCCCACACAGAAGAACCTCTTTGTTGTGTGCGACGCTCAGGATGATTCCTCCAGCAGAGAAGATGAAGCTAGCGAGCAGTATGCAGATTCTCCGGCCGTAAAGTCCGTTGAGATACCCTCCAGCCAGAGAGGAAACGGCCGCGGCACCAACAGTGACGGACACCAGCAGCTCCTGCCACAGAGAGCTGAGGTTCATCTCCCTCTTGAGCAGGAGCATGGCTCCAGACACCACTCCTGTGTCATAGCCAAACAGGAATCCACCCAGAGCTGAGAAAAAAGCCAGGGTGTAGACGAAACACGGAGAGCCGTGCTGGACTGAGCCGTTCTGATGTGTGGACGTGGGCGAGTCATGCTCTTGGTTGTTGGCCTGAAGACTTGTGTTCTTCTTTTGTCCTGCAGTTGAGCTGTTTGCCGATCAAAACGTCCATATGCCTCTGATGCTGGTGTTGTCATCGCATTTCAACAACATAGTCCAACAGGTAGTCATCTTTTATTTTTCCTGGCAAATGCTTAATAGTTCATCTGAAATTCCAACATTCTGTCATCATTTGAATGCCCTCTCATGGTGTTCCAAACCATATGACTGTCTTCATACTGTGGAATGGAAAGGGAGATATTTAGAAACATTTTCATGCTGCTCGCTTCCATATAATGGAAGTGAATAGGGACTGAGACTATCAATCTCAAAATGATAAAAAAGCACCTTTAAAACAACATAAAGGTCACGTCATTTGCACAGTTCGTGTGTTCATGTTTATTCCAAGTTTTCGGTCATTTTGAATTTAAATCATAATTTGTTGAAAATCCCATTTGTGCTTGGGCACACTCTTAAAAATAAAGGGTTTCATAAGAGTGCCATAAAAGTAGCATTTTTAGTTCCGCAAACAAACTTTAAGTGAGCAGTTTTTAAAAGAACCATTTTTTATTCTTAGTGTGAAGAACATTTAAAATCATCATAAAAATCTAAAGAACTTTGTTTTTCTGAAAAACATTTTTTGTGCAATAGAAAGGTTCTATGGATGCTAAATGATCTTAATGGAATCTTACACGGTTTCATTTTAAGAGTGCATGCTCAAATGTGAAAAATCGTCTTTGAAATCAATGATAATTATTTGTTCTAAATTATTATTTTTTATTTTATTTTATTATTTAGTCATTTAGCAGACGCTTTTATCCAAAGCGACTTACAAAAGAGGACAACAGAAGCAATCAATTGTAGTATTAAAACAACTAAAAACAGATCCAAAACTAAAAGCTAAAACTTTATAAATGCTACTTATACACATTTTAAAAATAAAGAAATTAAATAAAAATGACAAATGCATACAACAAAATTTCAAAACTTAACATTTAAATGAAAAACCAAAAATAAAGTAATTATAATTTAATTATAAATGTAAAATTATTAAAATAAAAATTAGATTAAATATATGATTAAAAAGAATATATACAAATATAATATAAATATAAAAATAATATATTTTATATTATTCTATATATATATATATATATATATATATATATATATATATATATATATATATATATATATATATATACACACAGTA